ATTGGGCCTTCTCGGCCTCAAGGGTAGCAACTCAGTTGTAGAGGTCACAATTCTCTTTCTCCAACTCTCTGATCCTCTCATCAAGCCACTCATCTTTTTAACTTGCTGTTTCCAAGTCATTCTCCCACTTAGAACGAAGGGTCCAAATCATCACTTCAAGGGCCTCCGTCTTCCTCGAAGCCTCTGACTAAGCTAACTCTGCCCTCTCCAGCTCGTTCTGCTTCTCGGTGATCTCACCATGAAGAACCTCCATCTGCAGACAACATCTTCCAATTGCATATGCAACTCGACCACCTGTATCTGAAGGTCTCCGCACTGAACCTCCACGTCTCTACTGACCTCAAGCTCTTCTTCTTTATTTCTTAACGTCCCCTCAAGGATACTACATTTCTCGATGACCTTCACTAGCTCATCATTTTTTCGCTTTAGCTCGTCCCGAAGAACCTAAAAGTTGCCGCCTTTGCCAAAATGCTTGTGGATTTCCCAATACTTGACACGATACTCAAAATATTTACGCTGAAGATTCGTGAAGATAGCATTATGCCTCTCTTCCCTTCGGGTTCTTTCGATTTCCAAGATCACGATCTGCAATCGCAAATAGAAGGAGTCAAATACAAGAACACCTCCATTGACAAGGGGAAGCGCTAAGACGAAGATCAAAACTCTAAATAAAGTAGACAAGAAAAAGAATCCTAGAAAAATTTACCCTTAGAGTGAGGCCGGCTATACTCATCGATAAGGTGACATTGTCCAGCTACGCAAGGGTCTCACCCTCCACGTTGGAAAAAAGAGGACCAAAGGTGGGGACCATGTTCACTGTGTCTTTTAATAGATCACGGTCCATGGGGATCGCGATGGTCCGCATAGACCCCTCCAGCCTCACTTCAAGCTGAGTAAATCCTTCTTCCATCATCCTCAGCTCTATGACGTCAAGATCGGAGCATGTATGATAGCCATCTTCGGCCACACCTTTATCTCTTCCATCAGCCGGCGAAGAAGTATCGTCAGTCGGTCGCGAGGTCGATGGCCCCTCTTGCCGCGAAGTATTAGACACCCTTGTAGATGGCCCTTAGATTTCCGTCATCATAGAAGGAAAGGATACACCCTCTACGGCCTCGGCCGATATCAGAACCTCCAACCCCAGCTCAATGTCATCATCAAGTATTATGATTGTCTTCTCATGGATGACAAAATCATCCACCACAGTATCTACAACCCGACAATCCCGTCAAACACATCCACTGACTTTTTCTTGTGGGGAACCAAATTCCCATCGCTTTGTGACAATTCCTCCTCCTCGTCCACAAGACGGAGTAAAGGGGAAGCCGGAAGCTCCACCGTCAAAATATTTACAGGCAGAGAAGAAACCGATGTTGAGGCAGCAGTAGATGGGGCCGAAGACTGAGTGGACCTAGTCGTGGTCGAGGAAGGAATAAAAATGAATGAACGAGTAGGCCCAGCCATGATCGTAGCGGGGATAGATGTTGAAGAGGAGGCAACTTTCCTCTTACGGAATGCAGGGGGGAGCCATCGGCCTCCTCAAAGATCCTCGAGATGGAAAAGAAAGAATCGAAAGAAGGTCATCACTATCATCAAAGGTGAACTATAAGAAATAGGCGACTAAGAGGCCAAAACAAAAAGAAAACAGACAAACTCACCAGTCAAGGAAGGAGCAAGCCTGAACTTCTTAAAAAAGCCCGGCCACTCGCAAATTCCCACGATATGAGGCAAAACCCGGCCAACCCAATCAGAAATGTCCCCGACCAAAGAAGGGGGCATAGTCTTGGCTGCATAAGAAGGGAACAAGAGTTAAGAACCTATGACTAAAACAGGCAAATCAAATGTTTTAACAAAGAAAATTAGACGCTTACGTGTATAATTCGAAGTCTCAGGAAAGTCGTCCACGTTGGCCATCACATCTTCGGTTCTGACAAAGAAACAATTATGCCAGAACTGACGGTTTGCCTTGTCGTCCATCTTCAACAACCATGCATTTACCCCCTCGATAGCGAAAGTTCAACATTGTCCCCTTATAGAAACTAGGGGCGAAGAGATGCATCAGATGCTGGTGTGTGATCTCGACCCTAGCCAATTCCGCAAATTTAGTAAGCATCCTGATGCGTTTGTAGATATATGGGGCGAGTTGATCTAGGTAGACATCATAGTAACGACAAAATTCCTTCGCCAATGGGAGAAGGGGAAGGGCGTAGCTAACCTGGAAGGGGTATGAGTAGAATGCGCAATACTCGGGGCAGTGGATTTGTACCACATCCCGCCCTGCAGGGACCAAATCGATGCGAGTGGGAATGTTGAATTTATCCCTAAGCTCTGCTTGCTCGGTAACAGACCTGACTTTCTCCCCACGAGGAATTATTTACTCCACCATAGGAAAGTACTCATCCTCAATGGTAATAGAGACGCCATCAACACGAGGAGGCATAATCACCGCCAAGGGGACATGGTTATTTCCCTCGCCGGAATCAGAGGACACGTTAGCCATAGTTCTGACAAAAGAAAGGATATTTAAGTAAAGAAGGGTTAAAAGCAACTGGAGTCACTGGAACCAGGAAAGAAGACACACAACAATGTAGTAAGGAGAAGGAGGCATAAGGATTCGATGTGAAAAATACTTAAAGAACGAATGAAGGCCCTCACATCCCTACTTATAAGAACTTAGGCATCAAATCCAAGAAATTATGCCATTATTACTCAGCATTGGAATCGAAACGGCAGATCCAACTGACAGATACATGGGAAACGACGCAAAGCATCGGGAAAATGCGCCATAATGACGCATGGCATCATGATGTCACTTTGGTGTAGAAACGACGTAACCCCCAAAAAATTGTGGCTCACGAAAGGCCACGTTGTCAGCTCGTCCCAAACATCACTACCCGGCCCACTCGTCCATTCTTCTCGACCACAACAAACAGAATCCGCTCATCAAGGTCGTCCGAGGCCCGCCTCAATTAGTGGAGGACTAACTGTATGGTTTGAAAGCTGCCCCAGAATATTTAGGACAAGAAAGCATTGAGGGAAGAATCAGTCGAGGGCGACCAGGAAATAGTAAGACTCATGGTCGAGATGTCAATAATGGTTGAGGTCGAGCACCGCGGAAAGGGCTGTAATGGCTAGTTTTTAGATAGGATATTAATTTAAATATTCTCTGCACTTGTATTATTAGGGTTTGTTAGGAATATGTCCCATATAAATAGGAAAAAAGACAATGAATGAGGGCATGTGACACTTGTTCAATAAAAATAGACTTTTGTTAAAAGATTCTTTCTCTCTCTTAAGAAGATACAAACGCTACCTTTCCATCAAGATTCTGATTCATATTGTTCCACACTTTTCCATCAGATCCGAAAATAATTCGAACATTCTAGGATTTGTCTGTCACTCATCATTGTCAGGATGGACAATCATCTAATTCATCTTTTATTGGGTGAACCACTCCTCCTATTTCCTCAAATGTCATTTATTGTTATTTATTGCTAGTTGTTTCTCCATTATTGCTCATACTTTTTGGAATAGTTAATGCATGTTGTTGTCATTCCACATCAGACCTGCCTAATGTTAGTCACGTTTTCAGAACTCACACCTAGAGATATTATTATTAACTAAGTTTAACCTATCATTATATAAATACAACTGTTTTAGCCGAAAGTTACACTTTTTGGTCAAACATTACTAGGGACTCACTAACAAAGTACAGGTTTGGCGGAACCTAATAACTTTGACGCAAACTTTATATTTAGTAAAAAAATTATTTAATATGTATGAGTAATTAATTTAGTGCCAACAACTTAAAATGATGAGAATTCTAAACTCTTCGACGTCGTTTGGTTCAAAAAAATTATACATAAATTAGTAATGCAAGGATTGATAATACATGAATTAGTAATATATGGATTAGTAATGCAGAGATCATTTCTTGTTATACGTTTCATTCATTGCACTAAAATTAAATATACAATATGTCATTTAAAATATTTATTTATTTTTTAAACTAAAGTGCTATGAGTTTACAATTATATTTTTGAATACTTGTCTTTCACAGATTTCTAGAGGAAAGACAGAAGGATAGTTTTATCCTTTTGGTGTTTTATGTCACGTCCTTAGTTGTTAACTAAGTACACGTGCGACACTTGACAATTCGCTCACGATCTTGCACAACTTGCTCACGTTCTAGCTATGTCAAGTCACCCTTACTATACTCAAGGTCGCTAAGAGAATGGAAGAAAGAACACAAGAGAATTATTAAAGGAAGCTTTATATTAGAGAGAACTTGAATTGTTTGCTTGATGAATTACAAATGAATGACTCCCTTTATATACTAGTCTCCTAGGGGCTAGTGTGTAAATATTAATTATTATACAAGTCCTTGATATTTACAAGATAAGGGCTTTCTCTAGAATTCTCTACAAGCCTAGAAGATTCCAAGGACTTTCTTAGCAAATCCATAAGGATCTAGGTTCTTCCTAAGGAAATGTTCATACCTCTCTAGAATCTTCTCACAAATGCTAGCCTTCTTCTTATGTAAGCTTCCACATGGCATTAATATATGCCAAATGACGCCTATGTGGCATGATGACATGGCAGGTCATCACATTTATCCATATATAAGTTATATAGTATGAATTAGTTATTCCATATTGATAGTGGTAGAAAGTTTTATCAAAATTGATGTATAACTTTATATAAGGATTAATTATACATCACTAGAAATATATATACCAAACATTGAATAACTATCATAACTTTCCAATACCATGATTATTTCTTCTTATATACCATACCAAACAACCTCTTAAAGCTTCAAATCCTAGATTCCCTCTATATGCACGTGACTATTCCGTTACGTGTATTTAGGAGCATTTGTTTAATTTGACCTAAATAATAGTAAGATTAATTATTAATCTGCACATTCACCATCAATATCCATTTGAAGTCATGGATTAGAGTATTAGACTATAGTTTGACAATTGACATTACGTACCTGTCAACCAACTAGTTCAAGATTCCGCATATTACCTCTAAAATTCCCTCTCTTTCTTCACCATTCTTCTTGTTCCTCCAAAGTCCAAATTCATAATCCACCCCTTTCTTCCTCCATTTTCGCCTTCGCCACTAATCCAAAAATTTATTACTATCTTCTTTTTAGTATTAGTTAAACACATCAATTTCTTTTGGAACAAGTTAACTGAATTATGCTTCGCCTTCTTTGTAGAACAAGCCGCCGGTGTTGTACCCGTTTACCTCGCCGTCGCTCCCTCTCTTCATCTTCAAATCGTAATCCCGAGGATTCTGTCGATATCCTTAACAATATAAAAAATCCCCTTCTTGTCCCTTCCCCTACCTATCCTCCAATTCCCGAACCCACCCACCCCTCTCGTTACTCTGTATTTGCTCTATCGGCAACCCTATTATCCGCCATTGTTGCTTCCTGCGCTGTAATTTTAACTCGCGATGATGAAATTGAGAATGTGCTGGAAAAATCGAACGAGTCGTTGATGAGGATTGTAAATAGGATGAAGAAGACGGGGGCAGCAGCTTCTGTGCTATGGAAGTCGTTGAGGTCGGTTATGTCTTCAGCGAATCACGAGGTTCGGGTCGGGTTTGAGATTAGGGTTGCGGCGTTGTTAGCTGACATTGCCGCCGCCAGCGAGAGTCGGAGGGCGGCGCTCGTTGCCGCAGGCGGTGGCGCGGTAATTGATTGGCTTCTGGAGACGGTGGGGACATCAGGGGAGAATTGCGGGACCCAGGCTGAGTCTGCTAGGGCTTTGGCTTACTTGATCTCTGATTCTAATGTGTGTGAGGATGTTCTCGCGAGGCCTCATGCTGTTCCCTATCTTCTTAGGTTTATTTTCTCTGCTCAGCCTCGACAATCAAAAAAGGTGAGGCCTTTTTCCATTAAATTTTTAAATAAATTACTGTATGGAAGAAATTGTATAAAATAGTTAAAATTTAGTGAAATGTTTAACTTCAGGACTTAATAGTGCCTCAAGCAAGCCCTTGAAGATACTCGAAAATTATGAATGACATGAAATGACATAGATTAAGTTCTTTGTGGCCAGGCTATTGAAATTTATTAAATTGTTACATCATTTTTTACATTTTTGGAAGAATTATTATTTTTTGTTTGACATGGAAATGTTGAATTTTTGTTGGAAGCAGAATACAAGACGTAGTTCATTCGATTATTCTGATTCTTTGAAAGGTAGGAGCATGCTGGTTGCAGCAATTATGGATATTGTCACGTCCCATTGTGAAAGTGCAGACAAGGTTTTGTTCAAGCCTACACTACCCAAAGATGCTGAGATGAGAGATATTGCCGCAGCGATTGAAATAATCGAGGAAGGTGGTATGCATTGGGATGAGCCACATGAGGAGGATGATGATGGCGGAGAAGGGATGAAGGGTATTGGGATGAAGATTCTTGAAGGTACGACTGCTATAGGACTTTCAAGAACTAATGCGCTTGTTGAGATGGGGCCTCCTAACACTAGCCAGACAGTCAGATATACCCCTAGTAATCTCTTGTTTAACAAAATAAATGATAGTTCGTCAGCCCGATCAAATTTGTCTTCTGCTGTGGTTCCTGGCCTTTGGGATGATTTGCATTCTGAACAAGTTGCTGTTCCTTTTGCTGCTTGGGCATTAGCAAATTGGGCAACGGCTTCGGAAGTTAATAGGTATCATATTCAAGAATTGGATCAAGAGGGGCATGCAGTCATGGCCGCTTTAGTGGCACCGGAGAGATCTGTGAAATGGCATGGAAGTCTGATAGCTAAATTGCTTCTAGAAGACCACAATCTGCCGCTAAGTACTTCTGTTTCTGATTGGACTTCTAGTCTTCTGTCTACTGTTTCGCATGCAAGTAAAACTCAGGACATCCCCCTAGCTCAGATGGCATTGTCTGCATTTTTGGTTTCTCTTGAGCGAAGCCCGTCGGCACAGGAGGTAGCAGTGGAAAAGGGTCTTCATTTGATGAGAGAGGCTGCTAAACAGACCACTAAGCATTCTTCGGTGCAAGAAGCATTGGCTAAGGCTTTGGAGTTGCTCTGTGCTAGGGAATGGCATATGTCACTGGAAGAAAGCCAGCATTGGTCTGGCGTTCTTCTCCCTTGGGTCTTTGGACAGCTATCCTCTGATGCAATACGATCATCAGCAATAAGTATCCTTTCACGCATTCTTGAAGATTATGGACCATCCTCCATACCAATTTCTCAAGGATGGTTAACTATTATGCTAAGTGATGTTCTGGAATCCAAGAAAACAGCATTAAGCAAAGGAAATAACCAACCAAACAGTGATAAAGTGAAGGTTTGTCACACTATAATCTTTTTTTGTTTTGTTTTGGGATGGTGTGGAAGTAGTCTTTTTTATTTGTAAGTAGAAACATCTCGTGTCTCCTTGGTTTCTCTGTGGTTCATGAAGAATCTTAATTTTGCAGACCCAAGTTGATCAAGCAAATGTAGTTTCTGCCACACAAATTGCTAGTCAATTGGCAGGAGCAGTTGTCAATTTAGTAGGAATGCAACTGGGAGGAGTTGCCAATGCTGATGATACACATCCCTTGGCAGATCTTCTCTCCCTGGAACCTTTTGCTGTGGCGCTAAAAAGTCTTAAGAAAGACAAACTGCCTAAGATCAATGCTGCAGATTCTGCAGTGGCCACGCTTAAAGGGATCAAAGCGCTGACAGAAATATGTGTCGAAGATACTCTTTGTCTGAACAAAATAGCTGATTTTGGAGTCCTCAATTTGCTTAGGCGCTTGTTACTGGATGATGATTATGAACAGCTTGCTGCAATAGAAGCATATGATGCATCACGAGCATTGGAGGGACAGGAACGGGTGCCAACTGTTCATGGCGAAGCTTCTACTACTGCGAATTCCAATGATGCATCCAGTCTACGTGTTCCGCCTACAGGTCATATTCGGAAGCATGCAGCACGGTTGCTAACTGTACTTTCAGTTCTTCCAAAAGTCAAGAAAGGACTAGTTGGAGATAAAGAGTGGTGTGAATGGCTTGAAGAATGTGCTAGTGGAAGGATTCCTGGTTGCAATGACCCTAAAATTCGAAGTTATGCGAGGGCAACACTGTTGAACATATTCTGTGATGACCAAACTGGTGAAGATTCTGTAAATGGTGATGTACTTCATGGAAATCCTTCTAACAAAGCACATACTTGCCCTCGTTATGCTGATATGATCCTCCTGATAAATCCTGAATTACCCCACTGGAAATGTATGGAAAAGATAACGCCAAAATCATTGGATGGGTCGTCATCTTCAGGTGCCAATGATTCTGCTGAGAGTGAGCATACAACAGATGAAGATACCAGTAATGATATATCATCGACATCTGCAAGTGAATCTGAGAATATATCAGAGTCCGAAATACCTTCAGTTGATGTTGTCTTTATACATGGTTTGCGTGGGGGACCCTTCAAAACTTGGCGGTTGTCAGATGACAAGTCATCAACCAAATCTGGCCTGGTTGAGAAAATTGATGAAGAGGCTGGACGGGAAGGAACATTTTGGCCTGGTGAATGGCTGGCATCTGATTTCCCTCATGCCCGTCTGTTTAGTCTGAAGTACAAGGTTGGTACATAGTCTGTCTATCCTTTTAAAATCTTATCGAATATTCAATCATCTTTCTCCTCATGTGTAGCCTTTTTTTTATTTTAAAAAAGGTCTTGCAAATGATGAGGTCTTGCATGAAAAAGGTTTACCTTGTCGTCTGACTTTAAACATGGAATTTTATGCAGACAAATCTAACCCAGTGGTCTGGAGCGAGCCTACCTCTTCAGGTTTGCATTTTTCTTAACTTCTGTCAAATTATCGTGTGTGTTTGAGGTTGGTCATAGTATCATGCAAAGCACTGGACTGCCCTTTTCAATCGTTGGAGACTAGTTTATCTATTCTTAAAGCTTTCAAGAAATGTCTACACATTGCCACATATAGTTCATCCACTAATGAAGGGAATGTGAGATTATTCAACTTCTCTATACCATTCTACACCTGAAAAGAAAATAGAAAGGATGTTGCACTCAAGGGTATGACCTAGCACTCGCTACAAGCTGAATGGACCATTATAAACTGAAATTCAAATCACAATAGAGAGGAAAAGGCTAGGTAGTTTCTTCTCATTTGTCTAAGCTTTTAACGGTGAGAAGTTACCCTATAT